GAGTAAATTCCCGGATTGGAAGGTTTATCATTATATGGATGACATTTTGATAGCTGCTAATATTGCTGATGATGCCATGAATTCTGCTGTCATTCTTTTAACTGCTATACTAAAGGAGAAAGGCCTAATAGTTAGTCCTGAAAAATTGCAAAAAGAATATCCTTTTGCCTATTTAGGTCATAAATTATTCCTGAGTCACATTACACCCCTGAAATTGGAATTTGTTCTTCCTAATCCTTTAACCTTAGTGGGTTTACAACAATTTTTGGGTCATATAAATTGGATCAGGCCGTATTTGGGTTTAACTACTCTTCAATTAAGTCCTTTGTTTCAAGCTTTGGCTAATGCTAAACAAGCATCTGACATAATAACCTTAAATGAAGAACAAAAAGGGATTTTGTCATTGATTGAACAAGTTTTAAGCCATAGATGGACAGATAGATGCTTGCTAGATTGTCCATTATCAGTGATTTTAATCTCAGAACGAAGGGCTACTGCATTGATAGTTCAGGTAAAAGAAAAAACTGCTTTAAGGATTCTGGAATGGATTCATTTGTCTCATACACCATCGAAATCCATAAATTGTATCACAGAACAGCTTGCTGATATTTTTAATCGTGCTCGTCAGCGCTGCAAGGCTATTGCTGGTATGGAACCAGTAACATGTTATGTTCCTTTTGCTTTAGCTACCTGGGAACAGATGATTTGCAATAGTGAGTTTTTGCAGGTTTTGGTACATTCCTGGCCAGGGAAGTTTTCTTGTCATCCTCCAGCCGATCCTAGGCTATCTTTGTATAAATCAGTCAGAATTAATTTAGCAAGTCTTTTTGTAATTCAGCCTATATCAGATGCTCCTACAGTTTTTACTGATGGAGGGAAAGTTTTTGGTGCTTGTGTTTGGAAAGATAAATCTGGAATTTGGCATACAAAAGTGACTTCAGAGCAGAAGTCTGCCCAGCAGGCAGAACTTGCTGCTGTAGTTTTGGCTTTTCAAAATTTTCACAATCAGGATTTTAATTTAATAGTGGATTCATTGTATGTGTATAATTTGTTACCCTTTGTAGCAGGTTCTTATTTGTCTCCTGGAATATCACCTGATATTTTAAGATTGCTTTTGCTGTTACAAGGATGTTTGGAGCAGCGTGTGAATGTGTGTTTTGTTGCTCACATTCGTAGTCATAGTAATTTGCCTGGAATTTTATCACAAGGTAATGCCAAAGCTGACAGTGCTGTAACTTCAGTCCTCACTGTCCAGCCATGGGACAGTCATAGTTATTTTCATCAAAACGCTAAAGCATTGGCACAGCAATTCAAACTTACTACTGCAGAAGCTGCTGCCATAATTCAACAATGTCCAACTTGTTCAAAGCAGGGCACGACTATTCCTATGGGAGTTAACCCCAGAGGGTTGAAACCCTCAATGATTTGGCAAATGGATGTTACTCAATATCCGTCATTTGCACCCTGGAAGTATATACATGTGACTGTGGATACTTACTCAGGATTTTTAATGGCTACCCCTCAAAGAGGTGAGATGGTTAAACATGTCATCAATCATTGCATTAAGACTTTTTCAGTTGCTGGTACACCTAAAACTTTAAAAACTGATAATGGTGCGGCTTATCGGAGCACCGGTTTTGATCAGTTTTGCAAACAATGGTCCGTGGAACATAAATTTGGGATTCCATACAATTCTACTGGGCAAGCTATTGTAGAACGTCATAATGCCACGCTCAAGACCATGTTGACTAAATTAAATAAAAAAGGAGGGAAGCTCCTGGGGCTTCCGGCGATTCAAGATCAATTAAATCTAGCTTTATATACTTTAAATTTTTTAAATTTGTCTGGTAACCCCCCTGCGAGCGCGGCCAGCAGGCATTTTTCTTCTCCTTCTACAGATGCGGTGAGACCTCGGGTGTTGGTGCGGTTCCTTCCGGATCCGGCATGGGTTCCTGCTGAGCTGATAATGTGGGGACGTGGTTATGCAGCAGTTGAACATCTTGGTCAAATTCGTTGGGTTCCTGGTCGGTGTGTTCGACCTGATCATTCGCAGGCACCTGTGAAGGAAGTTTCGGAGGAGCAGGATGGCGCATCTGTGGTTCCTGATTCTCTTGATGCCGATGGCTCGGACGCGGCGCTGTGAAGACTGGGAAAAGATGACTGCTTACCTGAGATTACCAACTTGTATGCAGCAGGTTTCTTTGGGGAACCGGACTAAATTAATCTGCAAACAGCGGTATCCTTTGGTTTTTCCAGCATATTGGTCCTGGCATAAGGATCAAGACATTCTTTACTCGGGACCTGATAAGGATATTATATCTTCAGCCTGTGCAACAACTCTGATCCTGTTTAATGTTTCTGTTTCAGACTATGGACAATATCAGTGTCAATTGGAGTTGCCTAAGTTACATTATACAGACTCTCTTTCCATTCGTCTTATGCCTCCACGAACTTCGATACGGAGGCAAAGAGATGTTATAAGATGATTAATGTAGAAATGTCTGAAATTCGTAAAGTTACTTTGCAAAATCGATATGCTTTAGATATTATGTTAGCTGCCCAAGGAGGAGTTTGTGCTTTAATTCATTCGCATTGCTGTGTTTTTATACATAATTATGAGCCAAACATTACAAAGACTGTTCAGGACATGGAAGATCGTATTGCTCAGCATCAATCTGGAGCCGATGGGTTTAATGCATCATTCTGGGACAGTCTGTGGTCCTGGCTTCCTGATGGATCATGGTTTCGCTCCTTATTGCAAGGGGTTGTTATTATTATTGCTATATGTATCTTATTATGTTGTTTTATTCAATGTATTCCTAATCTATTACAAATGTGTACCTCAGTCTTCCGGCGTGTGGGATCAGGTCATGAGGGAACTGTGTACTATGCCACTAAAACACGCCCTATCTTTGAATAAATAAAAAAGGAGGGAATGTGGTAATATAATCTATTGATCATTTTATCATTTTCTGTAAGGCCTTTGAATAACTAGCAATAAGTCTAGGGATATAGACATTCTTGGTGGGGGTAGGAGTACCTTTGCTCATGAGTGTCTCATCCTGTTTGATTCTGCAAGTTTAGAAGGAATAGGAAAATGGGTGAAAGTTCAAGGTACACAGTTGTGCTTTCTCATGGGACTTTCCAAACTTTCCCATGAGACTTTCTGTGGCTGTATGATCTCATCCTAGCAAGGTAACAGAGAGAAATATCTGCCTCTTCCTAGGATCAAACTCACAGCCTCCTGATTGTGAGGTGAGAGCTCCACCTCTAGGCTACCTTATTCCAACAATCTAGGTTTAAAATAAGCTTAGCTTAGCATGACCTATATATATACAGCAGCCCAGGCCAATATCACGGAAATCCGAAAACGGAAAGAGGCCATTTTGTTTTGGGGTCCAAATGGGCCCCCATGATTAAGGCTCATTGTTAAATTCTGCTGGAGGCAGTTGGGTATCTTTAAAAAAACTGGCTTCCAAGTCAGATTTAACTCACCTCTGGCAAGGCAAGTACTAAATATAAAATGGGAGTAAACCTCACACTCACTTCACTGATGTTACCTAGTTGGGTCATGAGACATCGGCAAGAAAACCACCAAGCTCAGGGAGCACCAAGGACCCCACTGTCCTCCTCCTCCTCCATCTCCCCTCCCTTCTAGCACTAATAATGTTACCTAGTTGGATCATGAAACATCTGCAAGAGAAACCTTAGAGTTTCTCAAGCTTAGAGAGCACCAATTCATTGTCTTCCTGTCTTCCTTCTCCCCCCTCTTCTATCCAAATGCCTCTCCCTTCTAGCACTGATGACATTACAGAGTTGGGTCATGAAACGTCTGCAAGAAAAACCCCAAGCTCAGAGAGCACCAAGGACCCTGTAGTGCTTCTCCTCCTCTTCCTCTACCCAAACCCCTCTTCTAGCACTGATGACATTCCCTAGTTGGGTCATGAAACATCCACAAGAAAACCCCCAAGCTCAGAGAGCACCAAGCATCTCTCCCCCTCCCCCCATCTCAATTCCTTTAAAAAGGTAAAGGTAAAAGGTTCCCCTCGCACATCTGTGCTAGTGGTTTCCGACTCTAGGAGGCAGTGCTCATCTCCATTACAAAGCCAAAGAGCTGGTGCTGTACGAAGACGTCTCCATGGTCATGTGGCCGGCAGGACTAAATGCCTTCGAAGGTGCACGGAACGCTGCTCCCTTCCCACCAAAGTGGCCCCTATTTTTCTACTTGCATTTTTTACATGCTTTTGAACTGCTAGGTTGCTAGAAGCTGGGAGAAGGTAATGGGAGCTCACTACATTCTGCGGCGCTGGGGATTCGAACCACCAATCTTTTCTGATTGAAAAGCTCAGCGTCTTAGCCACTGAGCCACCACATCCCTTTTCAATTCTTCTAACACCCCTCCAAATTAAGAAGTTTGTTAGTGTTTTGGGGATAAACCCCTAGCAGAGTATGCAGCAGCAGTCAAGCCAGGCAGCCAAATGAGAGAGGAAGGGTTTTAGAGTATACACACACTGAACACAAACACTGTTTGTAGTTTAAATAGTTTTTAATCCAGTTAGAGTTTAAGCATTGTCAATCAGTCCGTATGTCATTCACAATATATCCATTCAGTTAGACTCACTAACTCAGTCCAGATAATAGTCCTTACTATATCTTTATCAGCCGATAAAGATATCTTCTCCTCCTCCGATGCTTTTCTCCAGAGGATAACGCTGGATAATCAGTAGAACGATCAAACAGTAGACAGTCGCAGTAAAACAGTAGTAAACAGTTGTATCCAGCAGTAAACAGCAGTAAACAGTAAACAGCAAACGGTAAACAGTAAAACAGTAGGCAGTAAGCAGCAAGCTTTCTACTGCTTCCTCTTATTGCAGTTTCTAACCGCACCCTTAATTGGCTAATTACATGCAGTGTGGTGCTTAAAGTTACAAACACTTAAACTATGATACCTTAGTTTATATATTTATCCACCCAAACCTTGTTGGGTATCAATGTTATACCTAACAAAGTTCTCCCATCGTTGCAAAAAATCCCCCCCCCCCCCCCAGGAAACCCAGCGACCCCCGTCCCCAATTCTCCCACCTTGGGTGTCTCCCCCTTGGATCCCGGGGGAAGCCTGAGGATCCAGAAGTTCTGGTTCTTTAAGAGGTTCTCCATGTTCTCCAGCCTCTTCTGGAGCAGCCCGTATTCCTGGATGAGGGTGCCCAGCGCCATCAGCTTGCACTCCATCTGGTTGCCGAAGTCCACCATGGCGTTCTCGCAGTCCACGTACTTCTTCTCATTGGTCATCATGCGGCGCTCCAGGTTGAGCAGCCGGCTGGCATGCACGTCGACTTTCCTCTCCACCGCTTGGATGGCGGCCACAACGGTCCAGAGAGAGAGTTCGGCCATATTTTGCTTGACCTCCTGGTCAAAAGTCTGCTCAGGGGGAAGAGGAAACGGCCGGGGGGGCCCCCACCACGGAAGCGGGGGGGGGGGGGGATTCTTTTCTTGGGAAAGACAGAAAAAGGCCACTGAAGGTCACTGAAATGAACCCACGAAGCAAGGAAGAAGCAAGCAGTCCTCCAAATGCCAGATGTCAGCAACAGCGCACACACAACTCCATAAATTCCGTGTTTTTTCCTGACAACCGCCCCCTCCCCAGAGCACCTCCTTTAAGTCTCAAATCCCCAGATGTCCCTTGTGAAGAGAGGTGGGGCGCTATCCTCCCGAGTAATCAGGTCAGCCTGCACTCGGGTGGGATTCTACCTGTTTGGGTGAACCCCTAGCTCTGACGATCAGCTGGCAGTGAACCAGTTCTCTCCAGCGATGTGGGTTCACCTGCTTGACCCTGCGCTGTACTTACCTATATCCTCTCAGCTGATTCGCGCTGCAGAGCGGATTGCCGCTTCTCAGCTGTGTTACTCTCCAGTAGTAACATAGCAGGTGTTTTTAGAAAGCTGTTCATGCGCGCGCATATGCGAAGAACACAATCATCAAACTGGTTGTTACATTGGCAGTATCTGACCCCTGCCTGCGCTGTTCCTGTCTCCTCTCCACCCTCCATACTCGGGGATCACGAGGGGGCGATCCTTGCTCATTGCTTGAGCTCCGCCGCGCCTAATTTTCACTGCCTGCCCTCTCTCAGTCATCCTGCCGCCGTTCCTCCCTGCTGGCAAGCTGTCCCAAGCTAGAGGGAATTAGGGCTGCCTCACCCTGCTCTTCCCTGCATTCCTCAAAAAGCCAATGAGGTCGTCCCTTCGACCTCTGTCGGCCCCAACTCCTGCTCATCCTCCTCCATGGATTCAGGCTCCGACGGGGGCATAACAGAGGCTTTCGCTGGAGAATTGGTCCCTGGAAAGACTTCATGGCTTCACTCGATTGTAAAATTCACCACAGGTATTCTTTTACGGGTAGTCCTCCACTTACGACCACAATTCGGGCCAAAATCTCTGTGGCTAAGCATGTGAAGTGAGCTTGGCCCCATTTTACGAACGTTCTTGCCACGGTTGTTAAATGACTCAAAAGCACTGATTAAGTTAGTCATGCGGTTGTTAAGAGAATCTGGCTTCCCCATTCCCCATTGTTGGTCGCAAAAGGGGATCACATGACCCCGGGACACTGCAACTGTCATAAATACATGTCAGTTGCCAAGCGTCCCAATTTTGATGACGGCGGGGATGCAATGATGGTTGGGTGGAAAATTGCCATGCGTCCCTTTTTCCGGTGCCATTGTAACTTTGAACGGTCACTAAATGAAGGGTTATAAGTTGAGAACTGCCTCTAGATGCTGGTTTGGGGCAAAAGCCTTGTAAATTTTGGTCCCGGGACCACAGGCCAGGTGCCAAGTGCCAAAAATGCAATTGTGCATACGATTGTGTGTGTGTAAAAGGTAATGGTAAAGGTTCCCCTCACACATATGTGCTAGTCATTTCTGTTTCTGGCTCTAGGGGGTGGTGCTCATCTCTGTTACAAAGCCAAAGAGCCAGAGATGTCCGAAGACATCTCCGTGGTCATGTGGCCGGCAGGACTAAAAGCCGAAGGTGCACGGAACACTGTTACCTTCCCACCAAAGGGGCCACTATTTTTCTACTTGCATTTTTTACATGCTTTCGAACTACTAGGTTGGCAGAAGCTGGGACAAGGAACGGGAGCTCACTCTATTACGCAGTGCTAGGGATTCGAACCACCGAAGTGCCAACTTTTCTGATCAACAAGCTCATAGTCTTAGCCACTAAGCCATCAAAGCCAGGCTGTTAATGTTAAGCATGTACATCAAGGACTACCCATACTTAACAATCCCGCCTCCTGTTTTGCACCGTGAGCTGGGTTGGGCTGAGATGCTGGCTGAGGAATTCTGGGAGTTGAAGTCCACAAAGCTGCCAGGTTTGGAGACCCCTGATTCTAGTCCCTTCCTCCTTACCTGGGCTGGGTTCCAAAGGTATCACCCTGTCCATTGTTGCTGCCTCCTCTTCCTCGGTGCAGGGACGTTCCCCTTGTTCGATCCGGGACAGAAGATCTGGTTTAGCGATGGCATAGTCTGTTGGAGAAAAGAGCACACCCTTTGCAAGATAAGCTTGGATCGGAATAAAAAAATCTAAGTTGAGTTTCCTGTTTCCCATAACAGTCAGAAACAGTCGAGCAGCAAAGCACATGGTGACAATACACTTAATTTTCTCTGGTGCTATAAACAGAATTCCTAACAGCAATGCTTGTAAGTATGAGTCAGTTGCCAAGCATCTGTTTTGATCACGTGACCGTGGGGAATGCTACAAAGGCCGTTAAGTGTGAAAAGCATCCACAAGTCCCTTTTTACAGTGCCATTGTAACTTTGAACAGTCACTAAATGAACTGTTGTAAGTCAACCTGTACTTCAGCCATCTACCCTGTTTAGTTGCCGAGTCTCTTAGGAGCCCTCTTTTAGGTTGGGAGGTGTTTTTAAAAATAAGATGGGGCTGGCAGCATCCCACTTCCATTAAAAAAAATACAGGGAGTCCTCTACTTATGACCACCATGGAGCCCAAAATTTATGTTGCTAAGCAAGACATTGGTTAAGAACCAGTTTAGCGATGGCATAGTGTGTTGGAGAAAAGAGCACACCCTTCGCAATATCAGCTTGATCGGAATGAAAAATCTCAGTTGAGTTTCCTGTTTCCCGTAACAGTCAAAAACAGTTGAGCAGTAAAGCACATGGTGATGGCACACTTCATTTTCTCTGGTTGCAAAAGGGCAATCACATGACCCTGGGTCCGAATTTGGATCATGCAACCACGGGGACCCTGCAATGGTTGTTAAGTGTGAAAAATGGTCCCAAGTCCCTTTTTTTTCAGGGATGTTGTAACTTTGAATGGTCACTCAATGAACTGTGGTTAAGTTGAGGACTAGCTGTAAAATAAAAATCTAACCCTACCAGAAAATCCAATAGGAACCGAGAAGAAGGTTCAAGGCACATGAAGGAGGAATCAGCCCGTCCCTCACTTCCTATCGTCTTACAAATCCCTCCGTCGAGAAGCCGAAAATTACAATTTCCAAATTGTATTCAATTTCCAAATTATATTCAATTTCCAAATTGTTTTCAATTTCCAAATTATATTCAATTTCCAAATTCTATTCAATTGCAAAATTCTATTCAATTACAAAAACGCCGGAGACATTAAAATGATTTCCGATGGGCAAACCCACCCTCTCGCTTGTCAAACTTCACATTAAGCTCCGTTTCCTCCCCAACAGGTCCTCCTGATTTACAACTTTCTTGACAAGTTTGAGAGTCGAAGAGCTGTCCAAACTACCCTACCTAACCCTTGGTTTAAATGAGAACAACCCAGGATGGAGCTTCAAAATGAAACTGAAAGCAAACAGGAGAACTGGATGAATCGGATTGGAAATCACGGCAATGTTCTCGAGATGTTCTCCTGAGGGACTTCTAGGGACCAGTCTTGAAGTCCAACCTTAGCTACATGTGGACCTCAACTCCCAGAATTTCACGAATTGAAGTCTGCAATCCTTACAATTGCCAGACTTCTGATCTAGACAATTCCTCAATCAAAGAAGCCAAGATTCATGTTTTCAACCCACGAGTAGCAAAAGCTCTTTTTTTTTTTTTTTACCCAAGGAGACCAGTGACTCGTAGTTACTCTTCATCATGTTCTTGTAGAGTTCCTTCTGCCATTCCTCCAGGTTGCCCCATTCCTGCTCTGAGAAGTAGACGGCGTTGTTTTCAAAAGTTATGGGCACCTGAAAGCACATTGGTTAATCAATGGTCTGCCCTGACTGGCTCACCTTTCC